TAAAGAAGAATCATCTTCTTCAGTTATAACTATTTCAGACTTACAAATAGAAGTTCATAATATAAAGAATGAAATAAAATATTTGAAACAAAATAACGAATTATTAGAAAAAAGGATTAAAACAATTGAGAATTCACAATCAGGTGAAAACTCTATAGTTGATCCACAAACTCTTCGAATTTAGCTGAAAATATATCGAAGATCATAATTATGAATTCCTAAAAACAATACAAATAATTACATCTCAAAGATGGTATATAAAATTAACTCTAATGATAGATAGACAATTTGTCTTAAACACTCATTGCAATGATTGATAGTGGTGCTGATTTGTCTTGTGTTCAAGAAGGGTTAATACCCACGCAATATTTTGAAAAACCTCGCATGCATTAAAATCCGCATCTAATCATACATTAGATATTTCATATAAATTGCCTAATGCTTTTGTTTGTCGGGATAATATTTGTCTTCCACAAACATTTTTATTAGTAAGAAATATGCCAGAGTGCCTATTATATTAGGACTTCCATTTTTATGTATGTTATATCCACTCAAAGAAGTTAATTTTCAAGGTTTTACAGAACCTATAAAGATAAATCGATAAATTTCAGTTTGTCTCGGACCTATAACAAGGTCTATTAGGTCATTAATAGAAGCTAAAGAAAAACAATTATTTTTCATTAAAAATGAAATTATGAATTTATCAATACCGAATTCTCGAGTAATACTAAATTACAAGAAAAATAAAACATATTACAATACAATTTCAAGAATCGATATGCTGATCACCCAAATGCTTTTGGAACAGAAAGAAACATTTAGTTAATCTTCCTTATGAAGATAATTTTAATGAAAAGGATATTCCTACTAAAGCAAGACCATGTCAAATGAATTCGTATATATGAATTTATGTAAAGAAGAATTACAATCTTTGCTTCAAAAGGGTTTAATAAAACCTTCACAATCTCCTGGTCATGTATCGCATTTTATGTTAATAATGCAATGAAAAGAACGTGGCGTCCCAAGATTAGTAATAAACTATAAGCCACTTAATAAAGTTTTAAAATGGATAAGATATCCTATACCTAATAAAAAGGATTTATTATCAAAATTATATAATGCCAACATATTTTCTAAATTCGATTTAAAATCTGGATATTGGCAAATTCAAATAAATCCCGAGCATACTTATAGAACTGCTTTTAATGTGCCTATAGGACAATTTGAATGGAATGTGATGCCATTCGGATTAAAAATGCTCCTTCGAATTTCGAAAATCATGAATGATATATTTATTCATTATATGGATTTTATAATTGTTTACATTGATGATATCTTAGTATTCTCTGATAATATTGAACAACATTTTAAACATCTAAATATATTAAAGGATGTTATTTTACGAAATGGCTTAGTAATATCTAAACCAAAGATGCTTTTGTTTCAACATAATATAAGATTTCTTGGACATCAAATAAGTCAAGGGAAAATAACCCCTATTCAACGATCAATTGAATTTTCTTCTAAATTTCCTGATGTTTTTACTGAAAAAATTCAACTCCAGAGATTTCTAGGAAGTTTGAATTATATTTCACCATACTATAAAAATTTACAGAAAGATTTAGCAATTCTATATGATTTGCTTAAAAAATCAATTAAATTTGATTGGACAGAAAAGCATACTCAATTAGTTAAGCAAATAAAAGAAAAGGTAAAAACTCTACCATGTTTAACATTAGCAAATCCAAATTGGAAAAAGATAATAGAAACTGATGCTAGTAGCATAGGATTCGGTGGAATCTTGAAACATTAACCCTCATGATAATAATGAATATCTTATTAGATATCATTCGTAAATGGACAGAACCTCAAAAGAAATATGCAATCTGTTGCACAAGAATTTCTTGCTATTGTAAAATGTGTATTAAAATTCCAAGATGATTTATTTAATCGTCGTTTGTAATTCATCTTGATGCACTTGCTGTTAAACACATGATTTATAAAGATTATAAGCATGATTCTTCAAAGCAAATATATGCTCGATGGCAGGCTAATTTGGGCCCCTTTTGATTTTGAAATTTTATATAAAAAGGTAGTGATAATTCCTTACCTGATTTTTTATCACGTGAATATTTGCAGGATGGAGTGGCCACAAATTGATTATCTTAACCCCCTATCCGTAATACATATTGCTTATAATAAGATTGTTGCTGAATATAGGCATTGTAGAACGGAATATATTTTTGCGAAGCATAGACTAAATCACTTTTTACGAGTTCGTAATACAATTCTTGATTGTGCTGATGAATTTACTTCACCACAACAGATAATATCTGTTTCAGAAGACCTTGAATTTGTCTATGACATGATAGAAGACTTCACTGGAAGATTAACTGAAAGTGAAGAAAAGTTGAATTATTGTAAAGCCAAATTATCATTAATAATTCTCTAATTTTTCAGGATTATGTATCCACCCGATAGAGGACGCGGCCCTTATAGAGGTCGTGGAGGAAGAACAATAAACCCTGTAATACAACATGGGAATAAAAAGCTAATAGCTGCTGATCTTTCAAAATCTCAGGAGGAATCCTCCTCATCAAATGCGAAATTGGTCCAAATAATGGATTTTATTCAGAAGGATTCTGCATTATATAAGCAGATTATGGACCAGATCCAAGAGCAACAAAGTGATACCTTTGCTGCCAAAGTAAGTGATACTGACCAGGATGATATCCGGTCATATGAAAAAGGATCCACAAAGGAGGTAATATTCCTTCTTGAGAACGCTGATATTCAGTGGAAAGATGATCCATGGGTAATATTCCGGAGATATCTAGCAGAAAGGGTGACGATACCGGGTGAGTCATACAAACCCAGAAATTATTATGAGAATATTCTCAAACAAACATGTGAAATAACACATTTTCAGTCTAATCGACTACAATGAAGTTTATAACTTCTCAAAATTATTATCAAAAGATTTTATCTTTTGAAGAATGGGAATTTCAACCCTTTCGAAAGAGAAGTACGTAATACTCCTACTTCTCCTCCTTTGAAATTTACTTCTGGGATTATATTCAAAGTTTTTACAAAACTTTTTATTATGAAAACCCAGAAAGAAGCATACTTGGTTCATAAAAATATGCTCCCATGTATATTCTTCTCCCATACCCAACTGGTTTATTCGGTGGTGGGCATTATATGGCCCAACAACAAAAATTTTGCCGATAATTTTTCAAAATTATATTATCAATGGTTAAAATCCTCTCCTATCATTGATAAACTTCAACACATCATATCTCGTGCTCCGGGAAAAATCACTCGTTATACTTTTTATTGAATTCTCAATTCCTTGGATTTATAAATGGATCCCCGAGGTGGGATTCAATGAATTTCAAATTCCGTGTCTTTATAAGACATATTACACCAAATTTTGGGACAAATTAACAAAGATGAATCACAATACAAAAAGAATGGAAGGACAAGATTTTGGACGAAATTGCCCGAAAATCAAGGAATATACTCAAGACAAAGGACAGCTCAAAGCAAACCCGGATGAAGAAAGTCCGTTTAAACATATCACAAAACGGATTCACTTCAAAGAAGGAGCAATTAATAAGGAAGAAATAATATCCGCCTATATGAAAGAAGTTAAAGCAGATCTCATGAGAAATTTAAAGAATCTCGACAATGATAATATTTCGAAAAATCGATGTTTCGATGAAGAGCATAACTTCAAATGAAGAAAATTCGTTTGCAATATTGGCCGGAGAATCTCGGTCACCGTAAAAGATGACGATCACGATGAATTCATCAAAATCATTACAGCAGATCCAAGAATCACTCAATCACCAAAGGAAAAGAAAAAGAATGAAGTGACAAAAGTAGGAATCTACTTTTGAAATTTTGACAAAAGTAGGAATCTACTTTTGAAATTTTGTACAAATAGACCACCACCTTCAGTCAAATCTGAAGAAAACCATGTCAAATAATGACAAAAGTTAATAATTTTTGTAGAATAGTAGTTTTAACTTTTGTAGAATAGTAGTTAGGCACTTTGTCTATAAATAGAATGTAGAAGTTCTTGTGGAGGGAATCATTCTCTCCAAGCATTCTCTCATTTCTTCTCCCTTTATCCCGAAATTCTCTCTCTCCCTTGTAAAAACATCATTTAGAAAATATATCTTTCAAGTTTGAAGCATTGAAGAAGCCTTTAAAGGTAATATTTTCTTTTAAGTTTGTTTTAAGTTATAGTTTGAAGTACTCAGACAATGTCTGAGTAAATCTTTTGTCTGAATCAAACATTTGGCTTTTGTTTACATAAATTATACATGGAAGCTCTATCTCCTTCTTCTCTTTTAATTAAAATACGATGATTTGAGATTGGTTCCAATTCCGAGTTCAGTCGGAAAACTCAACAATAAGTGCATTGGGCTAGAAAAGTACCCGCTAGGATGAATTGTGTAAGGGGAAAAGAGGCCACATGATGCACAATAAGTTGTGAATTCCAGACAGGCTTGAGAGTTGGGTGAAACTTTTCCATGCATCTCGATTATTGATATTTTAATTAAGGATGGATAGAGATTTTGATCCTGTAGCTGGCTGACAAGGCATAGCTCCCGGATGAATGGTATCAGCCAGGGTGGTGGTTTGGATTCCGGCCTGGTTTCCTTGCTAGTCTGTTTGCCTGGTTTTACCGGCTAAGATGAGCACTGGCCAGGCCCCAGCCCCACGCCAACTAAACTAAACAATTATTTTAGGACAACGAATAAATAGTAATTATAACTTTTTTTTCCCGCGGGGGAGGGAGGAATAAATTAGTATCATATGATCTCATGTCATACTATCATTTTACTCATAAGAAATGAATTTATATTAAAAAAAATCTGAGCTTTTATGGCGAAATTTGGCCTTTCTGAATGCTCACCAAAAAAAAAAAAAAAAACCCCTCTATTCTTGAATTGTAGGTACCTTACCACCTTCGTCTTTTGGCTTCACAAAGCAAGAGGAAATTTCCTAATTGCCATTTGTTTTTTCCTCAATCATTTCTAACTAATATCCTCTACATATTCTGAGCTTCATAAATTCTGGATACTTCACCATTGTGCACTTCTTCAAAGTTTTTTTGAAGAAAAACTCATCAACAATTTCCGCCAAAATACTGCTAAATGAATGTGCGCCATTCTTTAGTTCTTTTCCTACTCCTTGCTGCTGTTATAGGTAATTAGTTTTTTTTTTTTTTTGGATAATGAATAGGTAATTAGATTATTCATTCTTTTTTTTTTCTTTTTCAGTTGGCATCATTTCAACTCTTTTCCTATGGTTTGCTATGGTACAGTAATTGGTTTTGAAATAACCCCTTCTTTTTCTGTAGTTATCATGCACGATACAAGTTCTGCCACATCAAGGGAAGTTGGAAGAACTATTAATCAAGTCTCAAAAATTTAGCAATAAAGAGTAATACTCCAGAAAAAATATGCAACTGTTTACAGATATTGTCCTAGCTTAAATATATATATATAGTTCATGTGATCTATATTAAGTTTGTGGTCTATTAAATCCTAAAATCAAACGAGCAGCTAGCTAGCTTTAGTGATAAATCCCCCTTATTTTCCCAGTCTTCATTCTATAACTCATATTCAGCTCACAATCACCATGTGACAGACTTTTTGTGTCACTTTTTTATTATATATATACTCCCTCCGTTTTTATTAAAAAAAAATAGTTCATATTTTAAATTATATCATTGATTATTTTTATGAAATAAAGAGAACTTTATATGAAACTACTTAAATACGTAAAAGATATAAAATTTGACGTCCAAAACAACTTATCAAAAATTATTATTATGCTAAATTGTTAGAGTAGTCTCATCATAAATTGGGAGGTCTGTATTGTTCAAGATTATAAAAGTTGAAAACATTTTTTGTTCTTCCCACAACATAACAATCAAAATTATTTTTTCACTCTTTAGGTAGGATGCAATTTTATTTTTGAGTTTTACAGAACCAAATTTAATTTTTACAATTCCTGATCTTCCACGTCACCTTCCTCATGTGACATTCTTGGACTGTCTCTCGTCTGATCTAACACAATAGATATATCCAAAAAATTTACACAGGGATTCATGAACACATATTCCCCAAGATCAACCCCACAAACGTAACCCAAAATGTCCTTTCATCATGAGTTTCATCCTCAAATTCAAAAAAACATCCATCTTCTTCAAAAACACCCCAAATTCTCACAAAGCCCTCCTCCAATATTCTCCAATTTTCACTTTTAAATTTATTTTTTTGGGGAAAAAATGAACAATATTCTCCATTTTGGGACATTCTTTCTTGTATTATTATTTTTTCTTCTTTAACACGTCCAGTCATCTCAGAAAATTTTCCAACCAAATCCTCACCCCTCCCAATTTCCACCAAGTTTGGGACTCCTCACAGAGAGATGATGAACAGCCTCGTAATTCGAACTCAAAGGTTCTTCTTCTTCTTGTTGCTGTCTTTTAGCCTCTCCTCGCTTCATAATAGTATTGATCGATATGTATTACTCCCTCTGTCTCAAAATTCTTGTCCAGTTAAAATTAAAAATCTAAATTGGACAATAATTTTGAAACAGAAAAGTACAATAAAATTCATTTTGAGTATTACTCAACTGTAAGTTTACTTTTTCATCATTAAATTATAGTCTCTCTGTTCCGGAAAGAAAAGGTCTATCTTATTAACTTTTGATATTTATACTATTTGTAGTACAAAAATCAAGATAGATTTTATATTTTATATTTTTTCGGGATAGTATTGTTGCGCATGCATGCCTGATTTTGTTAGTGTAATGTGTGCTCATGGAACAAAGGCATCTCTGGCTTTGAACGGGATCAATGAATACCATGGCCTTAATAAATCCTAGATGACAAAAATAAAAATAAAAGAGATTCTTAAAAAAAAAAAAAAAAAGATGAGTCTTTCGAGAATACATGGTGTATTTGTAAGGAACTTTTTGAAAATGAATGGGAAATGAATCTGTAAAACAACAAGAATAGGGGAAATGTGATCATTTCGCTGACAAAAGGCATATGTAGGTGAAGGAATAGGGTCGGTGAAACGAAAGAGAAGAAGTTAGCGTTAGAATGTGGTTTGGTTCAATCAGATTTTTCTTTTTCGTTATTTTACAAGGGATTGGGTTCTGGGATTTTCTCCCTTTGATACAAAGGTCACGAAAAAATAAGTTAAGAAATAGATTTGTTGCTGGTTATTGAATATGACCGCGACTAAAGCACGACATTGTCTATGTTTTCTTATTAGCGGTTTGCTTGTATTTAGCATTTTTTAAAAAACAAATTTGCTTCTTATATTGTTCCAACAAAAAAAAAAAAAAAAAGGGAAACAAATGGCTTTGATTTACAAGATGTTTTGAGCACTTATGAGATGATCAACCAAATCAAAATCAACTCCAAAACATATGTATACCTATCATCGTAATCCAGACTAAAATAGACTATCTACTAACCTTTATGTGTATTGGTTCTTCATGTACAGCAACAACAACAACAACAAAAATTGCAAGTTCGAAGACAACTACTTGTGTTCCATAATTCCAAGGAGCTAAGTAATTAAGTCAGTTTCCATGGCTGCCACCGCCTTGTTCATCGGCTCACCTTTTCTTACAACTCCCAAATGTGGGCTCTTTAGACTGCAAAATGAGGCAGCTGCTGGTGGCAGGTTTCATTTGTTTCTCAAAACAAAGCCTGTAGTCAAAGATGGAGTTCTCAGCTTTAATGGAACTGAAGCACTGAAAGGCATCCCTGATAATGTTGTCCTCACTCCCTACTCTGATTCCTCTGCTTTCCTGGGCGCTACCACCTCCTCGAGATCCTCCTCTCGCCTTATCTTCAAACTCGGCATTATCAAGTAAGTGAAACCAGCAGCCAGCTCATGTTCCATTTTCATTTATCAGTTCTCTTAATGTGATCAGTGATCACATTAAAAACAAATTCATAAACTTGTTAGAAATATCTATTAAATGTTTTCATCTGTTGTTTTCTTAGTACTTGTAAATGTTTTACCTTGTGTGCAATGAGTAACATTCAGCTCCCAACTTTTACTCAGGGATACCCGGGTGTTGAGTTTGTTTAGGTTCAAAATTTGGTGGATGATTCCTAGGGTAGGAAATTCAGCAAGTGAGATTCCTGTTGAAACACAGATGTTACTGATGGAAGCAACTCCTGATGGATCAGTTTCGGATGATAATGATGATGATGATGATGAAAACACAGGCTACGTTGTTTTCTTGCCCATATTAGATGGCGAAATGAGGAGTAGCTTACAGGGAAATTCAGCTGATGAGCTTGAAGTTTGTCTGGAAAGCGGTCAGATATCTTCAACTCAACTCTTTACCATGCATTTTCTTCAGTGTGCGTCTCTGATCAGTCTGTATGTTTCTGTATTTAATTAACAGGTGATCCATCATTACTTGTATCGGAGTCTCTTAAAGCTGTATTCGTTAACTACGGAAACAATCCATACGACTTAATGAAGGAATCCATGAAGTAGGTGGGCTTCTGATCAGCTTCCAAAAACTCATTTCCTGCAGTAGTTTCAAGATAAACAAGTGCCAAATGTGGATTACTTTGATTTTTGGCTTCTCTAATAAACATGTAGGAAATTGCATGAGTACACTGGAACATTTTCTCCCCGGGAGAGTAAACAGGTGGGTTAAAAAAGGTTTTCAGCCTAGTTGATTATCCTCATTTTAAGATAATTACATCCACCAAGAAGTAAGGATTAATATCTTTTTTGTATTTTATACAATCAGATGCCTGGAATGCTTGATTACTTTGGTTGGTGTACCTGGGATGCATTCTATTTTGATGTTAACCCTCATGGCATTATTGCTGGATTAAACAGGTGATTAACATAGATCAAAGTTTTTGTTCTTTCTTTCATTTTCCGCAAAATTTGTTAAGGTTTATAGCTTCTCACAAAGATCAGTAGCTAAATGTTTGCGTGGTATGTTGATCTAGTTTGTCGCAAGGTGGCACTCCAGCAAAATTTTTGATCATTGATGATGGTTGGCAAGACACAACAAATGAATTTCAGAAAGAAGACGAGCCTTTTGTTGAAGGATCACAGTAAATCATTGGATTTATTATGAATATTTTGTCACTGCTTCCTTTGAATTCACATAGTTATAGTTAATTAGATCCTCCTATGTTATTGATGCAGGTTTGGGGCAAGATTGATGAGCATCAAAGAAAACAAAAAATTCAGAAAGGACTCAGACGAGGCTTCCACAGAAGCACCAACTAATCTCAAGGAGTTCATTTCATACATAAAGAGAACTTTTGGCCTCAAGTAACTACCTTCATGTGTCCTCTTCTGAGCTTTTTCTTTAAGCATTCAGTTTCTCATGTAAACACCATTTTTCATTTTTTTTTTTTATCTTTTCTTTTAGATATGTATATTTATGGCATGCATTACTGGGGTACTGGGGAGGGCTCAATCCAGATGCTCCAGACACACAAAAGTATAGTCCAACCTTGAAGTTTCCATTGCAATCGCCTGGAAATCTCGCACACAAGAGGGATGGTGCGATGGATGCTATGGAAAAGTATGGCATTGGTTCAATTGATCCTGAAAAGATCTTTGAATTTTATGATGATCTGCATAGGTACCTAGCATCACAAGGTGTAGATGGTGTTAAGGTTGATGTTCAAAACATCCTGGAAACTATTGCAACTGGATTAGGCGGCCGAGTTTCGCTCACTAGACATTTTCAACAAGCTTTGGAGAAGTCCATTGCCAAGAACTTCCATGATAATGGCATAATCTGCTGCATGGGCCAGAGTACAGATTCTGTTTACAAGTAATATATATGCTTTGGTTCTAACATGTTATTTTTCTCAGTTAAGATTTATGATCAATTAAGTAGGTCACATTTTCCTGGATTTAGAAATTTTAGGATATTATTTATCTAAGACCAGTGTTTTGTTTTTTTGCAGCTCGAAACAAAGTGCAATTACGCGTGCCTCGGACGACTATTACCCTAAGAACCCTAACACACAGACACTCCACATAGCTACTGTTGCTTATAACAGTATATTTTTGGGTGAAGTAGTCGTGCCAGATTGGGACATGTTTTATGTATGAGGCTTCCTTGTGAAACTGTCCTTCATGAATTTAGATTTGTGATGAAGTGTTTTTCCAGAGTTCAAATAAATTAGTAAGGTTAACATTTTTTTCCCAAAAACATAAATGACTTGCAGAGCCTTCACAATGCAGCTGAATATCATGCGATTGCTCGAGCTGTAGGAGGTTGTGGCGTTTATGTCAGGTTGATTTCGCTGTTCTTAATATGTCATGTACACATTAGTTCATATAATTACTAATTTCATCTTGACAATGGGGATAAATGATTCATTGGTTATAATTACCTTTTCTGAATGATACTCTACAAACATATTTGAGACTGAGATTAACTTATCTGTCTTGGCGTTTTGTTCTCCTATGGTCAGTGACAAACCTGGACAACACGATTTCAACATACTCCGAAGACTTGTGCTTCCTGATGGATCAGTGTTGAGAGCTAAATACCCTGGCAGGCCTACAAGAGATTGCTTGTTTTGTGATCCTGTTATGGATGGTGAAAGGTACTTCAATTCCTTTTTTCCTGCTTTAAGTTTGTACATTTCTACAAAGGGAGTATTCAAAACTAAGTTTTAACTCGTCTGGATATATACTATGCATGTGTTATTAGTCTTCTAAAGATCTGGAATATGAACAAATGTACTGGAGTCATTGGTGTATTTAACTGCCAAGGAGCAGGAAGCTGGCCTGGTTTGGAAGAACACAGCGTTGAGCTGAGTCATCTCAATATAACCCGGAAAATCTCCCCATCTGACATCGAGTATCTTGAGGAGGTTTCGCGAGGGCAGTCATGCAATGGAGATTATGCAGTTTTTTCATTCAAATCAGGTACATATGTAGGAAAGGAAGTTAAGCTTGATGCATAGGATTATAGGAAACATTATGTATGTAGTCATTCAGGATTTTCTGAAGCAGACTTATTTCCCTAATCAAGTGTGATTCAGTGCAACAACTTAGCCCTTTATCCTACTATATGTAATAACCTCGTTTATTGCTATGTCTTCAAATTTCAGCATCATTGTTTCGCGTAGGCAAGAATGGAAAAATCGACATTAGCTTGGGAATTCTGCAATGTGACATATTCACTGTTTCGCCCATCAAGGTTAGCCGGTGATTGATCATCAAACTTCTGTTATGTCTTAATATTGCTAGTCTGAAATGCAAAAACTAAGCATGAATTCCTGTTTTTCCCTTGTTCAGGTATACGGTGAAAAGATTGAGTTTGCACCTATAGGCCTAATTAACATGTACAACTCCGGAGGGGCTCTTGATGCGGTTGATGAAACCAGAGATGATGAATCTTATTCCTTGCATTTTTGTATCAGAATCAAAGGTAGAGGGACAGGTAGTTTCGGCGCATACTCCAATCAGAAACCCAAGGTATGCATTGTGAATCAGAAAGAGGAAGAATTTGAGTACAGAAGCAAAGATCATCTCTTGACTATTGACATTCCTAGAGGCACAAATTCATGGAATGTAGAGATTTATTACTAAGACCTCGCAAACCCACCAATATTCGGATCATTTATGTCAGAAAAATTGTTACCAAGAACGTTCTACTTCTGTCAATTTATCACATTGTACATGAAAATGTGACACATTGTGTTATTATCATTAAACATACACAACCCTTTCCTTTTATTCTTCTTCTTATCATTGTTTTGTTTTCCTTTTGAAGAAATAATATATGAAGCACAAGCTTGAAAGTAGGATAATGTGTGTTAAGAGGTCAAAGAGCAAAGGTGTGACATGATAGTAGCAATAATAGTAGTCCTAATAAAGAGAGAGAAAGATGAGAAAAGAAAGGTGGAGAGGAGTCAAAGGGGGTAGTTTGGCTCCAAATTGTGCTCTTTATAACTACAAAGTTTTAAGAAAATTTGCTACTACTATTTTACTCTATTTTTCTAAGGGGTCAGCATCAATTCAGCTTGGAGCTGGTGGTAGTGATAAAACCACAAATGCATATATGTGCTATTCACTATAAACATATTACTCTTAAGATTTAGAGATTGATTGGTTTCCCTGAAAAGGTTAAAGGGTCCTGTTGGATTGATTTCTACTGTTTGAGGAAGATCAAACATTTATAGAATAAGTTGGATTTCTTTAAAATGGAGGATGGGAACAATATGAAGAAAAAGAAGACCAACAAGAGGGGGAGGAAAAGATCTGATCATCATGAAGATGATGATCATAAGGATCATGAGAAGAGGAGAGAATCAATAACAATAAAGGTGCCTAAAAACAATAAATCGAAGACGAAGAAATCAAGATATCATCCTCCTCCTCCCCCTCCTCCTCCTCCTCCTCCTCCTCCTAGCCATAAGGAGAAGGAGAGGGGATGTGGAATATTTGATTTTCCATGGCAAAATGAGGAAGGAGAAGGCGTGATTCTGAAAGAAGAGGAAGACTACGCCACCACCCCAACATGTTTTGACTTGAATCATGATGCTGATGAGTTTACTACTTGTAGTTACATTCTTCCAATAGTAGTTGGTGATGAAGATCACAAGGGTAGCAACATTGATAATCACCAGTATGATTCCAATTCCAGCTCCACAAGCAACATTACTAACCACCGCAGCAGTGATGATCAACAAAGGGATTCTTGGATTTGGAGCTTTGTGCTTGAACACCCTCTTCTTGATATTTAATTCAACTCTTCATAGTTCTACTTTTAGATCCTTGTTGGAGCAGCAACAAATGGTATCAATCTGTCTCCATAGTTTTAGTCTAACAATTATTAGCCTATGTTAGTTAGGACTTAGGAATACACATAGGTCCAAAATATATAGCTAGTTATTTGAGTTTCAAATTTTGTTTCATTTTCATATAGAATTTTTTTTTGTTTTAAATCAATCAAGAACTCCCTCTAAACTTTATCCCAATAAAAATAATATTTTTAAATACACATATGAACACTAATTTTGATGGGTTAAGACGTTGTGTGATCATTAGTTTAAACTTTTTAACCACTATTTGATATGTGGTATATATTTTTACGTAAGTGGCGGAGCCAAGAATTAATGAAAGTGGGGGGCAAAAAATCTCTAAAATTGTTTTGGAGTCGCAAAAATGTACAGAAAAATTTTGGAAGGGAAAAATTAAAAATTTTCATAAATTTATTGTAAGAAAATTAATGGCCCTCTTATTAAACTAAAATCAAGGGAGGGGAGGTGACCGTGGAATAACAGTCCTATCCTATGAAATCTTACCTTTACTGTCCTGTGAAGTAATTGTTTTGGTTTTCAGCAAATGTATATAAGCAAGTCGATCCAAACACATTATAATGGTCAAGTAGATGTTGCATTTTAGCTCTCTTTTAGTATCAACAATCCTCATTATATAGACCACAGTCATTTTTAACTTTCATTTTGTTGGGTTGACGTCATAATACAGACAATGTTCCTATACTAAAATTATCACTGCTATATCATTTATAGACAATGCATGTTGAATTGCCAGGATACTTCTAAGATATATATAGTATAAACAAAAAGTTTGTTTTAGTACGAACCACACCACCTTCGTATTGGGGCTTCCCGCAACCAAAGAGGAAATTTCCGAATTTGGCATTTCTTTGTTTCTGACTCATTCATTACATATTATTTTTAGCTTCATGAATTTCGGGTACTTAAGAATTGTGCACCATTTTCATTTCATTTCTAGCAAAGTATATGAAAAAAATAGTCATCAATCGAAAACCACCAAAATAAATGCATGATGTCTAAGCTACCCAGCTACATTTTCCTTTTCCTCCTCATTGCTTCCGGAATAGGTAAATTAATTAACGTCCTTTTACTTGATCATCTCTATTTATCACGTGTAACGTTATTTTCTTTTCTTCTTCTTTTTTTCTACATATTGAAAAGATGTTTTTTGCTTGTTAAATAATTGCAGCAGTGGCGATGGAAGATGAATCTGATCAGAATATTACTGCTGCAAAAGGATGCATGATGAAACCATCGCCAAGAAAGCTCTTAATTCATTCTCAAGTGTCTGGAGAAAACTGTACTCAATCCAACCAAGGTTATTTTTAATATCGAAGTAATTAATAATTATGCATCTTCATGTATCCTAGAGTTTTCCAAAGTCAATGTTGAATTCGTGATTGACCATACGACATTTCAATTAATTGAATTATCATTCTCTAACTAAGTACACTTTTTGGTGTCATTACTATATATGTTCTTCAATTCTGTATATTAGATTTGGGGTTGGAAATTGGCGCTGAAGAGGACGGTGCCACCGGATTAATAAGCCCAAAAGTCTCATCAAGGAAAATGCCACTACTTTTTTACAAGATGCTTGGAATTAGGGATGATCATGACCATGGACAAAATTGTGCCATACTGAATCAAAGTTGTGTTTTCGACGCTTGTTGTAGTGGTTGTGAATGCCTTGGTTTTATGTTATGGTGTGTTGGGGATTGCTAAAACGAAGAATATATTGTATTAGAATTGATTAATATAGTATGTTGGTGCTCGGATTGGTTACTGTTACTCGATGATAAATGCAATACTATTCAGAGACAAATTTTATTTTTCTTTTACTCTACAAGATAATACTCTCTCCGTCCCAAAATTATTGTCCAGTTTGAGATTTCACTTCTAGTACTATTTGAACTAACAATGTAAACTCAAACTGGATAATAATTTTGGGACAGAAGGAGTATCTTGCATTATTCTAGGTGAACAACTTCAATATCTCCATCATAGATTGATAGTTATGCATAAATCAATGAATTGTGTGATACAGTTATTTAAAAGCAAAGAGAGAAAGTATAAGAAAATAATTGTATTTTTACAACCAGCCAGAATTGAGTATGCCAAAACTTGACCAAAGTACTGAGGATTATATATGTTGAGAATTAGAATAAGCCCTGTGGAGATGTTAAAACATGTCTTGATTATGAAATATTTGTTCATTCCTTCAATTACTCTAGACCAATAAATAAAATATAGTGTAAGTTTAACAGTGACCAACAGAATTTTAAAATATTTAAATTTTATATGGTTAACATGCATGAACCATGATAGAAGAGTATAAGACTGAAAACTCCTACGTAAATTAATACTCCCTCCGTCCCATAATTATTGTCCATTTTGGTCAAAAAATTTTGTCCCAAAATTATTGTCCAATTTGATTTTTTATGGATCAAGTTACACATTTGTCCTTAGTAAAAAACATTATCCATGAAATCTTAGTGGTAAAACAATTACTTATGTAGGGGTATATCCGGTTGTTTAAGGTAAAATATAATTAAGTTTGACCAAAAATAAAATCTTTCATTTTAGTAAAATTGGACAATAATTATGGGACGGAAGGAGTAAGAAATATGATAATTATTTTGAAACCAATAAATAAAAAGAAATCAGGAGAAGAGCTCTAGGACATGAAAACTTGAAAATACTCTTTCTGAAGTTGAAATGTTTGAAAAAGTACATAAATTTTGAAACATTGTATATGTTGCAAAAAATAACACACCCAAAAATCACTTTTATTGCGGTTTCATTTAACCAATTCGTTTTTCAAAATTAATGTATTTGACTTATGCTTCCTTTGTCCTAAAAAAATAAAAAATAAAAAAATATTATAGTAGCACAAATATGTTTCTTTTTTTAATTATGAATATAATTTCAACTTGTTTCAAAAAAGGAAAAAAAATGAAAAAAATGGTATTTAAAATTTGTATTCTTTTCATATCATAAATTAACCTCATATCATTTCCAAAATTAAAAATAAAAAACCTTTACCCTACCTTCTTTCTTCTTCTTCTTATAGTATTTTTTTTTAATAAAGTTCCATCAAGAAACAAAAATGAACTCCAATAATAAAAGAGAAAAATACCAATAATAAGGAGTTTCCCAATTCGACGTCTCAAAATGAAGACCTACATCTTGAAGACATTGTAATTTTTTTTAACCATGGGAAAAACGAGTATTACATTTTAACCTCCACCTTTCTTGGATGCATCATCATAAGATAGACTTCAAAGCCTTACCTTAATAATTGCGAAAATTCTTCTCAATTGGTGGCTCCATTCCCAAATTGCTCCCTTCTTCAAATTCAAGACACCCCGAATAACTGAGAGACTCGCCGGCGGTTACCGTTCCCATCACCGCAGGTACTTCAATCTTTCCCTTTATATTAAGCGAATCAGACGAAAAGTCTAACTCTCTTTGCGTTGATTTCGTTTTGTTCGTATATCTCTCTAGTTGTGCATTATTTTCTGCTGGGGCTTCTGCGATTCTGGTCTTCATATGTTTTTCACCCATAGTGTCCGTAACCGGGATTTTTTAGGCCAATCAGAACTGCCCTTTTGATTTTGTTCTGTTTTATTATCCATTTCCTGTGAAAATTTTAGCTTCCAGACTTATTTTCCTTACTCGAAAGCTCTAATTTTTAATTTTGTAAATTATTGGTTGCTGCTTTTTTTTTTCTTTTTTTTTCGAATTCGGCACCCAATTTGATTCTTTCGATTTGGTTGGTTCTGAGAGATGTGATTGATCTTTGTAAGTGGAAAATTTATTTGAATTGATAGTGTTTGATGAGGAAGGAAATTTTTTTGCATGTGGCTTTTGTTACTTGCCACTTTTTCGGTCCATAGGATGACAAATTGGATAAAATGAGTGTTTATGGCTCGTTGTAAGTTAAGTTTGGATTAACCCCTGTGCATCTTTGAAATGATTGTTGACCAATTAATTGTGCCTTTTTTTCTTTGGGAAACAATGAAGGTAAAGTAGGCGAAAATCGAAACATGACTATTTATGCAAACTGTATCTTAGTTTGCTAATACGAAGTGCGTATTAATGATGATCATTGAATGCTGTCAAAAATTGGCATGTTCTACTAGATGCCTGGCAGCTTTAATCTTTCTTTGCCTGCTTCACTGTGAGTATCAGTAAAAGATCATACTTGGCGATTTTAAGCAGATCGAAAATCAACAATTGCAAAGCCTAAAGTTCTTATTTGGGAATTTAGGAATTTAGGAATTTAGGAAAGGATTTCCTCGTGTCAGTGTGATTGTAGTTGGTTTGTTGATGGTAGTAGCAGGCTGTTTTACCTGATTTCTTCGGGAATCTGCTTGTCCTTGCGGAAAAGATTTGTGTACTTTGTCGTAGGGTACCTCAGTTACCCTGTGGAGCATCTATGATTCAGTCTAAACATTCTTGAGATTTGAATTTCAGTATTGTTTTTAAATGAAGCTCTACCCTTAAATGTAGGTTATTCTCTCCCTGGCCATTTTTGGGTTGTGATCTCATCTGAAAGGAACTTGAGCAGCTGTTGATCATCTCGGTCATTCGATGGACAAAATTTTTATTTCATGCCGTAGCTGATAATTTTTTATAAGAGCTCTATTCATCTTCAGCTCAGTCAGGAGTTATTTGTCATTTAATTATCATCCTGAAACATTGAGCTGGAACATTTAAGTGTGCCTGTAAGAGTGGCAAACAGAAGATTTGCTTCTGCAGTAGTGTCACTTTTCAAACAACCTGATTGCTCATGGAAGAGCAGAAAGTACTGGAGACATCCTCAAACAGTATCACATGCCAAACCTTACCTTCTTTTCTATCCTCCTTCGTAGACACCTTTGTTGATTTCTCTGTTAGCGGTGGCCTTTTCCTCTTACCCCCTAGCCCGACCCTAGGTCAAATCTCTCCCCCTAGTTACAATGAAACAAACTCCAGAGTCTTGACTCCATTGCAGACAGTATATCCATCACCTGCACGGCTAATTGCTATTGGTGATCTCCATGGTGACCTTTCCAAAACCAAGCAAGCCCTCCGCCTTGCCGGCCTCATTGACTCTGAGGGTCACTGGAGTGGGGGCTCCACTACTGTAGTCCAGGTAGGGGACATCTTGGACCGAGGAGGTGATGAACTGAAGATAATGTACTTGTTTGAAAAGTTGAAAAGAGAAGCTACAAAGTCTGGGGGAGCTATTTTAACTATGAATGGGAATCATGAAATCATGAATGTGGACGGAGACTTCCGGTTTGTAAGTCGAGGGGGCCTGGAGGAGTTCAAGGATTGGGCAATGTGGTATTCAGTTGGAAATGATATGAAAAAGTTGTGTAGTGGATTTGACGGACTCATAAAGGACCCTTTTGATGGAATACCGACTGAGTGCTCTTACATTAAGCCTGAGATTTTCAGCGGTATTAGAGCCCGTATTGCTGCATTACAGCCGAATGGACCAATTGCAGAGAGATTTTTGTCCAGAAACCAAACTGTTTTGGTCGTGGGAGATTCGCTGTTTGTACACGGCGGCCTTCTACCTAGCCATGTTGAATATGGTTTGGAGAAGGTGAATGAGCATGTGAGAGATTGGATCCTTGGAATAAAGAAGAAGATTAGGAATGAATTGATCCGGGGCAGGCATTCCATTGTCTGGACGAGGAAGTTCTCGAACGAGTCGGCTAAAGATTGCGATTGTTCGACTCTTGAACACGTTCTGAACACTATCCCTGGGGTAAAAAGAATGATCATGGGACATACTATCCAAGAGAGTGGTATCAATGGTGTCTGTAATAACACTGCAATTCGGATTGATGTTGGGATGTCAAAAGGATGTGGGAATGGATTGGCTGAAGTGTTGGAAATCAGTGAGAATTCTCAGGTAAAAATCTTGACTTCAAATCCTCTGTATCAGAAGAAAAGTGATTCTTTGGTTGCTGCTGAGAAAGGTGGTCATGATTTTTTCATCCCTAAACAAGGGCAAAAACAAGTAGAAGTGAATGCTTGATGGTTCTGACTTGGTGCCTCTAAGCCTTTGAATCGAAGTCAGGTCCATATTGCCATGTATTTGGTGTGTGAAACTTGGTCGCCCACATGGTAATTTTTAGCTGTTATATACCTATTAGGATCAATTCAGAATAGTTGTGAAATCAATTATCATAGACATTATTATTGGAAGTCATTGTCTCTTTGAATTCCTGGCCTTATTTTGTCTGCTAGGAAATGTGGAGACCAGATTTATACGTCATCAATGGCTGAATATCATCATAGGGTCCAAGCTCATGGAGATTATTCTTTGATGAATCATATTCATTCCAAAGAAGTATCAATCTCTGCATCTAACCATATTGTTGGTTTGCGATATTATACTATTATTATTATTTTCTAGGTTTGGCTTGACTATGTTATTAATGACCAGTTAGCAATGATTAAGTGATGATTATGTCAAAAAGATAGTTAACGAGGACAAAGAAAAGTTACTGGGTGAAACAAAATCCAATGGCTTGTACGATCCAATTCTCACCGTTGTTTACCAAGCTTTTGAGTGAGGAAAGATCACATGCCTCCTTGGCCTAAACAAAGAAGCCGACAAGCTTTTCTGATTTATGATCATCACTGTGTAGAAATCCTTAATAGAGAGAACATATACAAGTCACGTGATTATATGCATATGATCACAGACTCAAGGAATAGAAGCTGCCTTGTTGCGCCCCAAAAACTACTATGTTATTCGATCATTCATGTATGTTATTGATCTTTTTGTCCTAAAATGATCGATATGTCTGGGTTTTTACGACTACGTTAAATCCAAACTGAACAATGCATGTATGCAACAACAATAACAAATTCTTATTTTCCTGTACGTATGAATTCAGCCATCATCATCATGTTCCTCATTACACAAACTTCCATTCAAGTTTGGTTTCTTCCCCACTAAAACACACACAAGGGGAAGCTAAAGAGTAGAGATTGGCTCATAAAATAGAGTAGAGATGTGATTGTCCATGTCTGACTTTTGGTAGCCATGGCCATCTCCATGGTGGTACATGCAGTGTGCAGCAAGTGCCAAATTAATTGCAATTTCTCTAAGGTTTTGAGGCACGTGATTAGAGCCATCTCCAAGTTGATGCAGGTTCATTTCTTTCCAAGCATCACTGATCAACAATTGTAAGTAGTCACGTGCCTCTTCCTCGGATGCTTGGTTTTCTTTCATATAACATTCTATAAATTTGGATGTGTCTTCACTTTTTAGCTTTTCCTGACATAAAAGGATAGGAAAACCATGGTCTTTTTTTTTTTTTTTTTTTTTTGCGCTTTGATAAAAAAAATGTTTCTATGATCTAAGTTTTCGAAAATTTAATAATTGTTGACAATATTGAAAAAAATGAAGAAGAGGTGGACGTACCGATGATGGGGATTTTTCTCATGTTGTTAGGCTCGGACCGGAGGTCGACTCGGGGCAATTCGGGGAGTCGACTCGGATGATGTCATAATGAAGTAATAAATACTAATTAATTAATAATAATATTTTAATTAGAATTTTATAAATTTTATATATATTTTTTAATTATTGGAGTCAAATTAATACATCATAATTTATAAATGGGTCGCTATATAATCAAATGGAACTCATGAGGTCGCGTATGATGATGTCATTATTACTAACTATATAGCATTTAGTTTTTTAATATATATAAAATTAAAAAGATTTAAACTTTATATCTCTCTTTGATTATATTAGTTGATATTGATATTTTTCAGTAGTTAATTGTTACATAGGTGAAGTAAATTAGTATACTAATAAAGTAATTTAAGATAAATACATTATCATTTAGAAAAAAATGTTGAATTTGAAGGACAACTAATATACACATTAAGAAAAAGTACTCCAAGATTTTATTTTTTTTTTTGTGACATATTAGAGCAATAATATAAATTTTTCATAAAATGAGGGAAGTAAATTTTTGTAGCAAAATTAAAAAAAAAAAATATTCAAAATATTATATTTAAAAATTGAAATTGAATATGGGGACTAAATATTAAATTAAAACTTTAAAAAGTACAAAAAATTGAAAGTTGTTGGACAATTTTGAACAAAAGAGAAATTGGCTTGGAAGACATTGGAAGTTGAAATCCATGGAAAAATGTGCAATTTTTTTGTCAAAAGGTCAAAAAAGCTAAAATCCCAGTTCGACCCGATTTTTGCCGATTCGCGGTTCGACCAAGATTTTGACCGATCTTCTTTTTGGCGATTTTAAACATAGCTCGGCTCGGCTTAGGAGCCGGTTCCCGGTTTAACCGGGTCAACCGGCCAGTCCGAGCCGAGCATGACAACACTAGATTTTCCCAAGTCGTTGGTAAGCCGTACGATCATTGCTAAAGAACGAATTATATAATCATATTGCTTAAAACCTTTCAATTCATTCTCATTTATCGAGTCAGCAGTGAAAGTGTAAGTGTGACATATTGCTAGAGGAACCGCCACTGAGATCCAGGCATTGTTCAAATACTCTTTAAGCGTTGGAGTGTATCCGTCCAAATACTATTTTGCTTCTTGTAGATACTAGATATATCCCGTATAATCACGGGCACTCCAATAATTTTTTTGTGAGTTCGATCAGTGTCATTGTTAAAAGTAACGGTTCTATAAAATATTTGATATGTTTTATAACCCAAAAATAAAATTTAGCATTTAGTTTTACGACTAAATCGCAAAGAAATTTAGAATATAAACAACATTGCTCTCAATTGAGAAATTAGTGACATTGATAAAAGTAATAAATCTAAATATTTAAAATATAAACTATGAATACAGATAAATGTATATATACTCCTTATTTATCGAAAACGGCAGAGCTGCTTATTCTAGTATCTCATCAAGAAATGGACAAAAACCTCCGCCACTGCAGCACCCTGTTGATAAAGAAACTTACCTTCTTATTTTCCAAACTGAAGCATGAAATCAATAAATAATCGCTCAATCCAAGAGAAATATGAAGCATTCTGACATTCTGAGATGATATAAGAAGTTTAACCAGGAAGAACTATATTTAATACTCGCCAATGATCTTGATTTGTTTGATATATTTTCAGATTTTTGCAGTTATCTTTAACTGACCAGCTGACCTTCACAATTTTTCCAATCAGAGCCTATCCACTCCTAAGAATTCAGTTCCATATATAAAAGTCACGAACAACCAATCAAGCAGTTAAATACAATATAAAAAGGTAAAGCACTAAGCCAACAAACTCTCCATTTTATTTCAATATCACTACCCAAATGTATTCTTTGTGATTGTGGACAGTGAGATTCATATACTTTTGTGATTATACTCTATTTCAAACTGTTTTGAACTAACATTTCAAATACCAATTGTACAGAAATTCCAGGTAAAAGGATTCTGCAGCTAATCGAAAAAACTAAAAGAGATTACGGAAAATGATTTTATTGTCAAGGAACTATCAGTAACTGCAAAATCGCCACAAAAGATATCATGTTTATCATATTATTCTTCCTCCAAACAGTCAAATTGGAAGTATATACCCAAAAGCAAATCTTAGGACAAGTGGCAAAACCCCAAACAAATTTGAAATGTGTGAAAAATATCCTTATGAACTCATGCAAAACCAACACAGAGAAACTACAGTCCAAATGGACCAATCCTTAATATAAGCTCAACTGCAAGTTTAAAAACTCTTCAAAATCTTTTACGTAGCATTATTGTGCAAACCTTGGACACGTGGCTAAACTCCTAAAATAATTGAAATATATGAAAAAGGAAAGTATTCATGAACCATATAAAGAAACCAACACAAAATATTGACCATAGAATCAGTCTCACAATCCTCTACCCATCTATACATTATCCGAAGCAAAATTTAGAAGGATAAATAGGGAACTAAAGCAGCATCAACAATACCTCAACAGCTGTTGACACCTTGTTTTCACAAATTTTATCATATTTTTGCTTCTTTGTTGCAGCTTTCAGACCTTTCCATGGAAAGCTGCAAGAAAACACCATAACAGAAGGGCCAGATGACACAGTAAGCACATGAAAATGGGAGCACAAAACATAAGAGAAATCATATCCTCCAACGAAAGAAGCCTTAAGGTATATGTACAAACCTTCTTCTCAAGAAGTATAATAGAACATAGCCAAGAGCCCCTAAATCATCTTTTCGACTTTGCTATGCAGGATACAACAATATGATTAAAAACTAATAATTTCCCTAGCCCAATATCAACAGAGCTCTTATCCTTTCCCCTATCCCACACGTTGTAGAGCTCTTATCTAAGCAAACATATGACCAGATCTATAACTGCAAAATTCAAATACGGCCCTGTAAGAATCCACCAAAGAAAATCTCATCATCCCACAGTTGCAATATGCTCTTCGATTGTGATATCCAAAAAAAAAAAAAAAAAAAAAAGGGGGAGAAAGACTATACCTTTGCAAGATCTAATATTGAGGAGCTAATACATAAGCTTTCTATAAAAAAAAATATATCAGTAGCAGATCTTGGGAGTGCAGCCAATGTGATGATAAATCCCCAACTCCACCATCTACACTTTAGAATTTGAACTGGAAGCAAAAAAAAAAACGATATCAACCCTTAGTACACTAAACAACTTTAACCCACTTCAAATCAAGTTCAAACTTTCTCCAATTTCATTTCCAATTGAAGTAAAGTCGAAAAACACTGAAAGAAGAGACTAAAAAGACATTCACTTCCACAAACACGAGGAACTTATACGGTTTCAGTTATTATGCGAATTCCACCAAAAAAGCACATATGTGATGGCACCAATGGCTTTATTGGCTTGAAAACACAACGTCAAGAAGAATCATGATATCTAATTTATCACGATTGAAAAGATATGAATGTGAAAAAAGTTTTGAATTAAATATAAGAGTAAAAGTTTTGGCAATATATTGACTGCGAAGTAACATAAAAGAGAGTTTCAATGATTTCCAAAAAAGTTTAAAAACAAAATAAAACAAACCTTCCAAAAATCTTTAAATCATCTCTAATGATTTAGAAGCCATCACCCGAGAGCCAAGAGATATGAATGCCAGTTTTAAGTCCTTTCCACTGTGTGATGGTTATAGCGAGATGAATCTGTGCAGTAAAAAAAAACGAACACACCCATTTTTGGCTTTGTAGTTCAGTATACTTCTTTCATTCAATAAATAAATTAATCAATTTAAAAGAAGAAGCAACTCACATATTGGGAGCCTCAACATAGATGTATTCGCAACACCCACCGCCATATATCATCCCACCATCAAGGCTGTGAACCCCAGAGAGCTCTTTTTCACAAATACCCTTAACATAATTAATCTCTGGTGGTATAAACTTGCTGCCGGATAGCTTCTAGGATGTACAATTTAGCAAACCGAATAAGTATGACAAATTACAATAATAGACCAAAAGAAAAGAGAGGCAAAGGCGTTAAAGGAAACTGTAAATCCGTTTTAAAATATACACTTGACCGTTCAAGATTAAACTACCTTTATTAAAGGCTCTTTCACATCAAACATGACTTCTTAAATCCCTAAAGAAAAGAGAAAAAAACTAAAAGTAATTTGACAAATTCCCAAAGACACAGCCCTATTGGAAACTGCAAAGCAAGGAGAAAACTGAACTAATGGTCATACCCATTGAAAAAAGAGAGAAATAAACATACACATTGATATGATAACATGGCACTGCTCCACAAGAATTTTTTGCATTATAACGCCATCTACAACTAAATTTTAATCCAAGTTCACTGACAAATATTATGGGACGAGAAAATTATAACCTAAAAATTAATATGAGAATTGAGGAAATTGAGTAAGCAGGCTTCTTTGGTATTAACATCCTGGTGCTTGGAGCTTGCTGGGAGCTTCAATCGATGAAGGAGGCAAAGTAACAATAGTGAAGGAACAAAGCTTTGGCAAATGTGAAAAAACTAAGGTTTTGCCAAGTAGTTTGCAATGGAAGAAGGACCAAGGGTGACGAACAGGAAGGTCCAAAACAACACAAGTAATTTCAAATCCACCTAAAAGTAATTCAGTCACGAATTGAAACAAAATAAAACAGCAGTATGAAAACTAAAACGGCACCTCCATATACTTGAAACATAACTTTATTTAACAAATTAAAGCTTACCCTTTCCCAGAAGAAGTATCCTCAAGGACGTCAAGGACTTTGCATATGTGGGTTTTATCAATAGAAACGTCAAATACAAAGGGTAGAGAAGATGGCCGGCGGTGAGTTTACTGGCTGGAAATAAAGACAGCCGTTTGAATTATGATTATTTCGGAATAGAATTTCAGAAGTATACAATGAGAAATTGATGAAATTTCACAGACCCAAAAACAAAACTAAAAATAAAAATTTGACCTACGACTTCAATTGTAGAATTTTATTGCGAGGATCTACTCAATTGGTACGATCAAAAGCTTATTCTTCCGCTGAATCGACCACCATCTCTACCTATCTGGAAAGCGAAAACCTCTTCCATTGCCGCCGCGCCTTCTCGTTGGTTGGAATGGCTAGGGGCGTCAACCATCGGCCAATGCTCTCAACTGCGAAGGAGAAATATTTTGCTTTTATAGCATTTCAATTATTTGCAGATGAAGGAGAATGCTTTCTTTTTTGAAGAAAAATATTGCGCCAAATAATAGAACTATCAAATTGCAGACAACGGAGAAGAATGGAGCTTTCGTTTTTGTTGAGAAAAATATTGTTCCAAATAATAAAACTGAACTATCAAATACAGCTATCAAATGTCAAGCATACTAGAATAATAATTATTTCGGCAGTGCATTCATGAAAATAAGAGCTTATTTTTGCATGTTTGGTTTGGACGGTGCATTGGGCAATGGTAAGCAAGCTAGCGGAATACTTTTTTTTGGGCGGATGGTATTGCATCGATAGTGCATTATGAAGTGGGTCATACTGGACAAATGTCAACTAACTAATGCATTACATGGTTCCAGCCTAGAATAAATGGGACTTGGAAGAAAAAACAAAAACACAAGAAAATGACAAATTAGCATTTTGGCATTTAGGCGAGAAATGAATTCACCACAGCTTAACACCTGGACAGTAGGGGGTGGAATTGGGGGGGAAAACTGATTTAGGGGCTTCTGCTTTAGTATATAGAATGATTTTTTTTGGAAGAAACAAAGGATGTTGACATGAAGCTGGAAAGAGGGAAAAATGAGAGAGAAAATGGGTGCATCGTCAAACTCAAAATTATGTGTACGCTGCACTATTCAATTAATTAGTTGGGCGGTGCACATGCAAAGTGGAAAATAGAAATAAAAGTAATAATGCACTTTCTCCATTCCAGCTTGCAATGGGTTTACAACATTTGATAAAAATAAAATTAAATCTAAATTACTACAAAATGACACATCAGCATAACAGAATTTTGGAGGGAAAATTTTGCATCAGGAGATGACACGTGTCCCAGAAGAGGAAAATTGGACGGGAATACTTGCCTCAAGGGCTGTTGTTTTAGTATATTGTATGATGCTCCACATAAATCTGCCCACTACATGTATCATTAAATCGATTAAGTTAGTAATGTAAATATTATTCCCTTCGACATTCCGAAATGATTGTTCAGTCTGAATTTCATTTTTAGTATGAATTGAACTAAAAATAAAATCTAAATTGGACAATTGTTTTTGGACCGAGAGAGTAATTGATATAATACCCTAGACCTACAGACTAACATACACTCACAAGATTCAATTAAGTTGGAAAAGACTAATAAGAAAGGAAAGAATGCTTAACTGATTTGGTTAAGTGGGGAATGATGTTGACTCCTTTTTCTTTTAGAGCAACATAAGCCACTTGATTTAACTATGGAGACCAAGAAAACATAGTTTCATGTACCGCGGAAGTTGATCAACTGCATTGATATCCTACCTGAAAAAACCACAACCAAAAAAATAAAAAAACAAAAAAGAAAGAAAAAATAACATCAAAGTATAGGAATTTATTAAAAAAAAAAAAGAAATTATTTAAAACCTTTGAATAGCAGAGGTGAAGAGTTCTAACGCATTCAAAGCGCCATATGTGTCATACTCGTACATGTCGTCTAACATAGTTATAAAAATAATAGCTTTCGTCCCCATAATTCTGCTATATTCTTGTTCACGTTCTGAAACATATCCTACATTCCACAAGACGTTCTCTACCAACATGTCCCTAGCAAATTTCAAGTCTTCTCCAATTCCTGTGCTCATCCACCACCTAAGGACAAACCGACATTAAAAGGTTAGACTAAATACGAAAAATAATCGTTTATCCATTACCAAAAGGAAAAATATAGTTTAATTGGTCCCACGAATAGCATTTAACCCGTTCAAATCATTCAATTTGTTGAATTGAATAAGATATATAAATAATTTTGCGACTATCTTTATCATTATAAGAAGTATGTCACGGAAAATTCACGTTATCAATGTGAGAGTTTACTATGCGTAAATGCAAACAAAAAATTCACACTACCAATGTGAGAAGAGTTTACTATGCCTAAATGCAAACAAAAAACACCAATTAATTTAATGTCAAGTTTTAGATAAAATCTCACCTAGATACATATTTGAGTTCATCTTGGTATGATTTCTGAACAATGTTGAAGTCTAGTTTTGCAAGCTCAAGCAAAACCCGATTCATGTGGGGGCTTTTCTCGTATAGATCAACAAACCACCTTGCCTCCAATCGTTCATCCTCCACTGCATCGGAATATCCAAGGAATGTCTCACCAATTTTTCAATTAATTCTTCTTCAAATCCATTTTCTCCGTTGCCCAATTTCTTCTTGAAATATTTGGTCGTGAATTCCTTTGCCAATTCCAAGTTATTGTCATCATTTTGTATTTCAAGGTAGGAAGCTTCATACTGAAGATGTATAAGACTCATGTATTACATTGTATTGACAAACATATATATAGTATTTAAAATTATAATAATATTACAACAATACCCCTAATCTAATCCTAATTATACATACACTAACACATAAAACTGCAGCATTCCCTTTGGATCCTCCCAAAGACTAGTTCTGAATCCACCATTCTCATCTTTAGAAGTATCAAATACATCTGCCAAATAATATTAACCTTTTAAAATTTCCGCGCATCACGTAATAATTAAGAAAAAAAAAACTATGTTGAATTAAAACAAGTAAAATAATAATAATAATAATAATAATAATAATAATAAGTGACAAGACGAATGTTGGTGTACCCAATGTTGGAACCGAAATATCCCTTGCAACTAGAGCATGCATTTAATATATGAAATGAATATCGTTTTGACAAAAAAAATGTTGGTGTACCTGATGAGACATAAAATCCGTGTTGTCTGAGCAGTCTAAATTCAAGAGCTATTGAATACAAATCATTTTGTTGCTTTGGCCTTTGATCATCATTTGTACGATCTCGGCTCTAAATTTTCGATAAGATGGAGTGGATTTTGGCTTTAAAATGATGAGAAATTCCCAGTCTTTCCAAGGTGTCAATTAACTCCAATTGACTAACCACCTTATCTTCTTTTTTTCTCCTTCCACCATAATTTTTTTTTATTTTCTCCTTTAGCACTTCAATTCTTTTTATGTGCTCTTTAGACTAAAACACATCAAATACGTATCATGTAAAAGTGAAAAAACAAAGTCAAAAGGATAAGTGACTCTTGTTTCACTGTACATATTCACTTGTTTTACATATTTTTTAAAAAATAAGTTAATTACGACAATATTTCACCAAAGTAGATACTTATACAATGCACATTAAGTGTATCTAGCCAGGTGCACTTAGACTTTTTTATTATTATTCAATAACGGAGGGACTTTATGCATAATTATTTAACATGATTTCTTTTTCCTTTTCAATGCACGTGTCCCTTCCCCTTGATTTTAGGAAGTGGATTTTAAAAATTTCTTTTATCTTTAAATGATTTTATTTCTTAAACCGTAATGAACTAGACCAAGTATCTTACATCATTTTGATAGTACTCAATGAGATCTATCCAACAAGATCCAACATGAATATGTTTTTCGAAACTTTAAAAATTTATGTAGTTGGCTTGGTCATCCTAAAAGACGCTATGGTCTTACTTGTTTCTTTTAGGACTAAGACCTAGAGCAAACACCTAACACCAAAGGCCACGGACAAAAAAATGAAAACCAAAGAGCAAAGACAAAAAACCAAGAACCAAAGATCAAAGTGAAGAGCAAGCATGTGTGAGAACCAAAGACCAAACATCGAAGACCAAAGACCAGAGTGAAAAGCGAGCGTATGTGAAAAACAAAGACCAAAGACAAAAGGCCAAAGACCAAAAATCGAAAACTAAAGATCAAAGACCAAAGACCAGAATGAATAGCGAGTGTGTATGAGCAAAGACCAAAGACCAATGGCCAAAAGACCAAACTAGCCCCCAACCAACACGGAAATGCTTAAACCCCCCAAAAGCCTAAACCCTAACCAACTAGACCCTAACCGACACGGAAATTTTTAAACCCACTAAACCTTAAACATACTAGTATTTTTTTATTTTTTGGTTTAAATTTTTAAACCAAAGCATAATTGGTTTAAAAAAAATTCATAAGTTTAATCATGTTACGGCACAAATTAGGCTCTAATCGACACGAAAATGCTTAAACCCCCTAAACTCTAAACCCTAAATAACTAGACCCTAATCGACACGGAAATTAGGCCCTTTTTTTTTGTTTAAAAAATTTGCATAAGGTTAATCGTGTTACGGCACAAATTAGGCCCTAACCGATACGGAAATGCTTAAATCCCTAAACCCTAAACAACTAGACCCTAGCCGACACGGAAATGGTTAAACCCCCCTAAACCCTAAACACTATTTTTTTTTGGTTTAAATTTTTTTAAACCAAATAGGCTACCCTAGCCTATTTGGTTTAAAAAAATTTATAAGGTTAATCGTGTTACGGCACAAACTAGGCCTTAACAGACACGGAAATACTTTTAACCCCCCTCCCTCCTTTTACGAGACCCTAGCCTATTTGCTTTAAAAAAATTTATAAGGTTAATCGTATTACGGCACAAACTAGGCCTTAACCGATACAGAAATGCTTAACCCCCTCCTCCCCAAATCCTAAACCATAAACAACTAGACCCTAACCGACACGAAAATTGTTAAATCCCCCTAAACCTTAAACACCCTAATTTTTTTGGTTTAAAAAAATTTATAAGGTTAATCGTGTTACGGCACAAACTAGGCTCTAACCGACACGGAAATGCTTAAACCCCCTAAACTCTAAACCCTAAACAACTAGACTCTAACTGACACGGAAATGGTTAAATCCCCTTAAACCCTAAGTACACTAATTTTTTTTTTTTGGTTTAAAAAAATTATAAGGTTAATCGTGTTACGGCACAAACGGGGTCCTAACCAACACGGAAATGCTTAAACCCCTTAAACCCTAAAACTTAAACAACTAGACCATAACCGACACAGATATGGTTAAATCCCCCTAAATCCTAAACACATTAATTTTTTTTTAAATTTTACGAGATCCTAGCCTAATTGATTTAAAAAAATTTAAGAGTTAAACGTATTATGGCACAAACTAGGCCCTAACTGATAAGAAAATGGTTAAACCTCCTAAACCCTAAACCCTAAACAACTAGACTTTAATCGACAAGAAAATGCTTAAACTCCCCTAAACCCTAAACACACTAATATTTTTTCGATTTTTTATCTTTGGCATTTGGTCTTTACTCCTCACACATGCTCGCTTTTAATTCTGGTCTTTGGTCTTTGCTCTTTGGTCTTTAGTTTTTGGTTTTTAGCCTTTGGTCTCTGGTCTTTGGCTTTTGGTCTTTGGTCTTTGGTACTTGGACGTTGGCCTTCGGTCTTTGATCTTTGGTCTTTGGTCGTTAGCCTTCGGTCTTTGGTCTTTGGTATTTGATCTTTGGTTTTTGGTCTTTGGTCTTTGCTCCTCACACAATGCTCGCTCTTTCACTCTGGTCTTTGGTCTTCGGTTTTTGCTCTTTGGTCTTCGGTTTCTTGGTCTTTGGTCTTTGGTCTTTTGTCGTTGTTCTTCACACACGCTGGCTCTTTACTCTGGTCTTTGATCTTTGCTCTTTGGTATTCAATTTTGGCCTTTGGTCTTTTCTGTAGGTCTTGGTCCTAAAAGACACAATAAGACTAGAATGTCTTTTAGTAAGACCAAAGTTACTGCATAAATTTTTTTAAGTTTCGAAAAACATATTCATGGGAGATCTTGTTGGATAGATCTCGTCGAGTACTATCAAAATGATATAAGACACTTGGTCTAATTATTTACGGATTAAGAAATAAAGTGATTTAAAAATTTAAGCAATTTGTAAAATCTAATTCCTAAAATTAAGGAAAAATGGCGCGTGAGTTACACATAACTCATAAAGACTTACATGTTTAGCCCTTTTTTCTTATACTAATTATCAAATAAGGGCCTATGTACACCTATTTACATGCAAAGTGAGTGCATGGTATAATTTGCGCAACTAACTAAAACCACTTCAAAACGGTAGGACAAATAAAAAGGGGGTTTTTCCATAGAATATAAAGGAAAACAATAAAGATAAAAATTGATACTCCCATATTACCACATATTGTACTTATGATAATGAATAAGGGGGTAGTATATGATAATGAATTACCGCATATTTATGTTGGAGTGACTGAGAAAGATTGAAGTCCAAGTTAGGAGAATTGTTGTGGTAACCATTGGATGATCGTGTTCTTGCCGTGACTCGTGACCAACGGCAAGCTTTTCGCCGGAAACTCGCCAATGAGTTTAAGTAATTTTGCCTGCACCGGACGCAACATAGAACTTTGGACATTATCTGCAATAGGAAAATTGAACAATACTATATTTTTGCCAAATAACTCAACATCAAAGTTTTTCCAAATTTTTTTACTAGTGAATTGTGTGTCGCACTAACAGAACAAATAACTGAGCAAATTAAGTTGGGAATTTGTAAGAGGTAAAAATTTTAACTCACACTCCAAGGAGATAGCTAGGAAATTGTTAATAGAGTGAATTGTTTTCAAATTGAATGCCAATTCACGCTCACTTGAAATTCCCACTCTTTGTGAGTATGGCATGCAAGAGCCTACGACTATATATATACTTTCAAGTAGCTAGGCCTAACCAAATTAAAGAGGAAGACCCAGTTGATAAAATAATTGGGAGTGAATTAATTTATTAGCATATTAGTTTTGTTTCCAGAACAATAATAGAAACTTCGATAAATTAATTCCTGTGTTAACTAATTGATTAATCTTTAATCTCGTTTGTAGAAATTTTTGTACATCTCACACCGAATCATCTGCTCTAAACGTGTTTAAGGAGTTAAATGCCCATTCCTGACCAATAGAAAAGAATAAAATCAAAGGTTTAATTATGGAGAAAAGTTTGGAATCTGACGAGTGATATGGAATCTTTTTCTTTTTTTTTCCAGCGCTTAGAGGTTTTTTTAAATGCTTAGGGTGTCAATAAGAGAATTTTGGCATGCCTCAAAATATATATAGCAAAATATATATAGGCTTCTGTCCATCCTCAAGAGAATAATCTTTCTTTTTTGTGTGTCACTGTATCATTTTTACTGTATAAAGTCCTTGTTTTAACTTTTCATTAAATATCATTAATTATGTATATTACTACATAGCTGCATTGTAAGAAACAGCTTCCGAACGTTTTGATTCATCGGTTAGCTTTACTTTTTCATTCATTGTTCGTCTCTCTACTGCAAGTTCTAGGTAGTTTGTCATGTTTTTGAAAAAGAAGACACTGCTTATTGATTCTTACATGTATAAATAGATTCGAGTGATCACAAAAATTTAGCCACTAAAACAAGACTTTAGGAACATCGGAACATGGCAATCAAGAATAAAAAGATGCACATGATTTCAAAACGATGCCAAGGTATCATTTTGCTAATTTAATTCAAACATAATTTATGTGTTTTGAAAAACCGTACGAAAACATATATTTTAATTAGCACCGCACTGAACCACTGTTTTGACCGCCACCGCCGCTCAACAACCGGCGAGGACCCTCACTGAAGTGATCCCGGTCTATGGTGGCAACGATGGTAATGGCTCTAGACACCGAGAGGTTAATAAAATAAATAAATATGGACATATATCGAAGCTATCCCGGTTTATGGTATCTAGTGATCAAGAGATCGAAATAAATAAAATGTCATCCATATATAAACCAATAGTCGAAATTAATTTACGACCAAAACCAAATGGTCTTAATTGTATAATGTAAAATATTTAATTGACTTTTTACACATTAGACTAGACTATTTGGTCATATAATAGAAAGAGGGTAATCTAGTGTTAGTACTTAAGGATAATTATAAATAAATTTTCCAGTAGTATATCCTAGTTTGTGTGACAGAAGTCCACAAGAAAATTCTCTTAAAAATTCATCAATCGAGGATAAGCTCGAAACTGAACTAGGAGAGAGGTTGAAATTGTGATTTGTAATCATATTTCTTTTACACGTTATTCGACCTTAATTGTGTCGAAAACATGTATCAGGAAATATCCTTCTTGATAATCTGAAGCTGATTATTTTAGACCTATATCATAAACCTATATAAGTCGGTAGTCATTTTGCAGTAATGTCCCAAAGAGACTATTACTCCTCAATCTATGCTGCTCTAATGTGCCAAATAAAGGCCAAGGAAAAAAAAAAATCAGAAATGTGTTATGCTGTTAGCTGGATTATGAAGCTACAGTACAGACCTTAAATGGAGAATGCAAAAACAAAAGCACCAGCCAATTACAAAACAAACAGCTGTTAGAGGTGTCATAATTTGCTTGATTGCAGATCAAATTAAAAGAACTGCAAAACTAGTAACATTCAAAAACATACGATCATTTACAATTGATAGTAAAAGGAACCAAATCTAATGCAGTTTGTCTCCGCAACCTCTGAAATCGTAAAGTGGGCTAAAAAGGCCTGTTCTCTAGGATATACAGACAAACATCCGGAAAGATAATGCTCCAAAGAACCAGCATTCTCTTCATTTTTTTTTTTCGGGTTTTGCAGCACACAACAGAAACTAATCCACAATCTCACCCTCTTCGACATCAGAGTTGTCTACAACATTTGATCCCTTACGGCTATGGAACATATTCGACGACATCAGTTGATCGTTGCTCTCACAGCTCCAACTTTCATCCCATACCTCACTGCTTTGGCAGCTCCAAGATTGACCAAGTGTTTCACCAAAATGGTCCCAAGGGAGTGGCTCAACATCCAGAAATTCGAATCCCGCAATACTTGGAATCGCTCCTGAAACAATCATCCCAGATTTGAAATCGACCAAGAATGTTACATAGCCGTTCCCATTGCGAGTGTAACATGAATAGCAACGCTCAAGCTTTTCCATCTCCTTCACCACACCAACATCATTCTCTCTAGCATAGGCCCTTTCCAACTCCTCCAATGCAAAACGAGCAAGTTTCCTTTTTCTCTGAATCTCCTCTCTCCTTTCAGTCTCTTTCAAAGCATCCTTTTCGCTCTTAATTTTCAACAATCTCTCTCTTTCAGCCTGCGCCTTCTTTGGATAATTCTTGTCACCACTTCTTTTGGCTATAAGATCAGAAAATAGACACATCAACTCTGCAGCACGAAGGGCCTTCGCCAAATATTCATCGTCGCAGGCGGTGAGAGATGATGAAGTACTTGCAACCTGTTGAAGAATCAGATCATTACAATCATCAGAAACAGAGTCAACAGAGGAGCCTAACTTTTGCCATTTATTGCAATCATCATTAACACTATTGTCATTGCAGGCAATTGGTAACGAGGGCTCCATCTTCCTCTTCTTCACAGCATCAGATTTGTTGCTGATGTTGCAACTGCGTGAATCAGAGGAAGAGAAGAAGGGCCCTTTCTCCATAGCTTTTCTTCCACAGCTATTTGAAGCAGAGAAGAACGGCCCCTTCTTCGCCAGTTTAGTACATGAAAATTCATGATTCCTACTCGACAACATCATCTTGATTGATCGGAAAACACTATCCAATTACAGGAACACGAAACTATTCAGATATCACCGGAGTTTCTACGTAACCCTAGATCGCGAAGAACAAATGCCTAAATTTCAGCAATTGGAAACAAAAAGACATGTAAAGTACCCGAAAACTAACATTCAAGCAAAACCCAGATCGCAAAATCGAAGAAACCACACAAATTCAGAGCAAGAACAATGAGAATGATCACTAAACGATCAAGGAATCGTTGTAAAAGCTCAAGCGTAGATTGAGAATGGCGGTGGAGGCAAAATATAGAAAGTGAAGGATGAGGGCGGACATTCTCGCCCAGTGTATATATAGGGTTGGGTTATGTTGGGTTTTCGATCCTATTCCTAGCTCAAAAAGGAAACTGTAAATATTATCCCAATAAAAAAAAATTAAAAAAATTACTACTATTCTTAACTTGATCCTAATTATTTATTTCGTATAAGCCCAATTTCCATCCCATTTTAAAAGTCTAGATACAATTAAATTTTAAAATTAGGATCATGAAAATTGTATCATCTGGTGATAATTATTATGTTATGTATATATATATATATATATATATAATCAAATTGATGAAATAAAAAATATTGAGTAGTATCATTTTTAGGCCAACCGTTACAATTTACATTTTTTTTTATATATTGAGTCCAGGGAGTTACATGTATTGACCTAATTTGGGTTCTTTAGGTGCAACCTTTCAGTTTCCACTTGACAACAAATAACCTTACTCGATTCAAATGTAATTTTTGTCATTTGCATATAGTTTTATTTTTAAATTTACTTTTTTTTTGTCTTACGTTGTATAAATAATTGGGGATGTTGTTTTTCGTTTTAAATCTGAAAATGTTTTAACTCATAATCTATTAATCTCTTAAACAAAATTCCCAGTGACATGGGTTATAATCAAAACCGTCGCCATTCGAGGATAGTATTATTGTAATTTTATATTTTACACAATTCTAAAAAACATTCATAATAAACACGGTCACACTTTGAATTTAAGTGGTCATCACTCAGTAGTTTCTTTCTGTTAATGTGTGTATATAATTGAAGTTATTGTTCTAACTGTATATCTCTTATTGTATTATAGATACAACATATGAATACAATAACTCTAAAGGTTTTCACACTTTCATGGTATCAGCCTCTTCTTAAAACCGTCGTTTCTTGTCGTCTTTTCTCTCTTTCACATCCCGTCGGTTTCTTCATTGCTGCCAGTACTACTCCTCCAAGTATGTGGAGATTTTATATTTTTGTTGTTTTTGATACATTTATTATTTTTTTAAGCTATTAAATAGTCTATTTTTTTCAAAACCAGATTTTCGCTTGAATATATGTCACAATCTATAATAATAATACTCCTTTCATTTTTTTATATGTCTTTCTAGAGAAATCATCAAAACCAAGAACACATTAATTAATGTAGTTAAAAAAAAAATATCATTATTTATTGTCTACACAATTCATCACAAACCAATAGAAATTCATTATAAATACAGTTTCATTTTCAATGCAAGAGTAATATTGGTAAAAAGTGATCAAATATATTTTGATTTGTGAAAACGACATATATTTAAAAAAATTCAACAAATATTAAAATGACATATATTTAAAAATGGATGATCATCATCTAGAGTATTTTTCCGAGGCTAGGATAAAAATGGGCTATAAAGCCACATCTTTGATTTCAGCCCAAATTAGGAAGCCATCAGTTTCGTCTTTGGGCCTAGTAAGGCCAAATTTTCCGCAATATAACTTATTAAAGGACATACTAGGGTTTTATGAGTGGGCGCCATCTCTATATAAACCTCGCCTCATAGCTTCATACAGATTCCACCCATAGGGCTTGTTCCGTCATCTCTTTCTGTCTTTTTTCGTTTACTTTTAATTTCTGGGCAATATTCATCGGGTTTTGGTTAATTCTTGCTCGCTTTCTGATGCCGAGTTAAGGTTATTATTAAAGTAAGTTTGGGTTTGATTATGCTGTTTTGATTTTCCATTGTTAAATCTTGGATTTTAAAGTTATGGTTGGAAAAAGAAAAAGCCAATTTGCAGAGCAAGGGCGTCGAATTAGATGACGAAATCCTTGCATTGAAGGTTGGCGATAACGATTTTTTGCGATTCTCCGTGCCTTTCAAATCTCGATACTATTTTGATTACGGCCTCGAACAAATCGCTACATTCTTTCCATACGGTTTTCTTATTTGAAATTCATGTGGTACCATATTTTAACGAATTTAGTAATAAAAAAAAAATTAGATACTGGATCTGGGTTAATGGTTGCCTTGATATTTTTCTTAGAAGGCAAGGTTGTTTTGGTATATTCAATCCAACAACGGGAAGTAATTGAACAAAGAAACCCAAATAAATATGCAATTATCCATTTTAAGTGTTTATTATGGTGATTTAAACGTGATTGGAATTGTTTTTTTTTTTTTTTGAAAATATTTTTGATTCATTGATGTTCGTAATAAAATTGTTTGAAAGGATGGATGGGAAAATTTTTTTTTTTGTAAACCATTCAAATTGATTAATATCCTTTTTCTTTAAGTAAATTGACTTTGTGAGAAAAAGGATGATGGACGGAAAAGGGAGATTATGCGACATCACTCTTAAGAGTGACACTAATCACTAATCAGTCAAAAGATCTAATGGAATTTTCAGAAAATGCTGATACGAGAACAAAAGGGGATGAAATGGATTGTGGCAGTAAGAGGGGATTAGAATGGAGTTTTCCTAATTTAATTGTTGATCAATCCCCCACAATTGCACATCAAATCTAATTGATTCAATCTCCTCAGCACGCCCAACAAGGTTCCCTAATATCGTAAATTAGTAATATTGTAAATCTCTGTAAATATGTAGGTGGCCAATAGAGGGTACGCTAATTACAATGTGATCCTTCAAAATATCTCCCCCTAAATTTGGGCTTTTAAGCGGTTCAAAGGATGAAAAGAAATTGGGTTGGTGATTGTGTTTTGAAATTGAAAACGTACCAAAACAAAATAATCCAGTTTTAAAATATACAATTTTTTTAATTTAGTCAATCTCGACAAAGTAGACTCATTTTATCCCAAAAACTTGCGTTTTTACTCCTAATTGAACCTCAAATTATAAGCTCTAAAATCTAGTTAGATCTTCGATTTCTCCCTCTCAACGCCTGTCCTCAATTTAGGTAAAGAACACCACCAGCGGTCGCGGCGGAGAAGAGGCGGCCGTCCATGAAGAGATGTCCAAAATCAGCAAACTTCCGTCGAAGATCACTTACACGATTCATCCTTCACCACCAAGACAAATTATGGTTTGACATACACGATTGCATCTTCCACCTTTTCCTCCATTAAATTCCTCTCTTCGTCGACCACTGCTGGGAAGAGGGGAAAATTCCTTGAATGGGGCTGATCACAAATTTGAGGTGTGTTCAATTCGTTTCATCAGCAAGACCAAATTGGAGATATAATTGATTGTGGAAGTATTTTATTTATTGATCCCAGAGCCCATGGATTAATTGTTTGAACCGGAAAAATAGATCATGTGCAATTTTTTTTTATCCTTGATGATTCTGGAAAGGCAGAGCCATGCCAGTTGTTCTAGGAGGAGACTCCGTTCCAAATCTAATTTCTCCGGCGTCTTTAAACTGTTTGATGAAAGTTCGGGTGACTGATTGAGGGCAATGAAGTCATTTCTTAATTTCAATTTTGACTTTCTTGAAATTAGATTATTTTTTTGGGAACAAAATTTTTTTAATCAAATTAGACTGTTTTTGTGGGATGGGAGGAATAAGAAAAATTACTCTTGGGATTAGATCATTTTTAGTTAAATTTTTCTTCTGATTGACTTGTTGTAGCTCTTATTACTGCGGTAATGGTAACTAGATGCGACGGGTGCCCCGTATTTTAATTTTATTTATTAAAATGAATTACAAAAAATTATTTACAAACATATATAAATATATGTATATAAAATGTTAAATTATGTATACAAATAATATTATACTGGTTTCATTGAAAAAAAATGTAATATTGGCAAATACAAATTATTAATAATTAAAATTTACACAGTGCAGCAAAAAAATATATATATTAGTAATATTTTGCTTGTATTGTCTATTTAAAATTAGCAAGACAATAAAGAAGAAAAAATATCAATTTGTATTCTATTTTTTTGTGCAAGCCCAATACATAATTTACAACTCCACATAATTGTCCAATTTGAATCCAAATTCCAGGCCTGTAGTCCAATTAACTATTCTGAATTTTTTTTTCCAAAAAAAAAAACAAAAGAGGAAACTTGTGTCAATTTTAGGAAACAAAAACAGTTTCAAACACAACATTTCGAAGAAAATAATACTGGTCTCGAAAGTCCTTTTCTAATCTGAAATAATCCTATTTTCTGCAATCAAATTTCTGTTTAAGTACTCTGTTTCTATGCGAAAGAATTACACGGCGAATGTCGGAGGAGTTTGAGTAAATCGAAGCTGGTTACAAAAAGGAGAAGAGTGAAGATTCTTTATTCGAATGGGGTCTAGATCTTACATTCCCTTTTCCTTTGTACATTTGAATCAAGTATATCTAGATTGTTTGAGTTAATCATTGAGCTTAGACAGCAACAAAATCTGAGTTTACAAACGAATCGAAAACCCTTCGATGATTTCATATCTAACAGGTGATGTGATTTTTTTGGTATAGTAATAACATTTTCTTCTTTTAATCTATATGAATACTATAGAGGGAACTATTTGTTTATTTACAAATCCTAAATTGTTTTTTTGTTCTTGGTTTTTTTTTTTTGGATTCGTAAATTTCCTGATGTTGTAGCTAGACCATGAGATGGTACCTTCCTCGAGAGTTGCTATTGGGACGGTCACTGGAAGATTCTTCTGTTCCAGCTAAGCTAAGGAAGTTTATTCTTATCAAATCTATGGTTTATTCATTTTGATATGGTCGAAATTAGAAATATGTTTATGAATTGATTCAAATATATATGAAGTTTTAGAACAGATTATTTGTTCATATATGAAACCCCTATCTGTTGGTTAATGTACTGTTCTCATTTGTCAAAATAATTACGGAAAATTTAAATTGTTTATGTGTTCTAAATAATTTGTATAATATATGTAAGATGATAGTAGAATTCTGAAAGTGCTAAAATTGTTTAAAACATGTAAACACACCTGAAATTCAATAGTTAAATAATTAAATTTCTACTGAAAATAATTTACATCATAAACATAATTTTGTTGTCCACTGAGATGTAAAGTAAAGA